GCTCAAGGCAGCCAATTTAACATCAGAACTTGTTACAGCCCGAGATAAAATTTCAAGTTGTTCTTAAAATTGGGGTCATCTTTTCTTCTTGTCAGTTGACTTAGCAGTTTAACTTGCATGTTCACTCACTTCCAATGTGGTCTTTACAGAGAAAACACTACCTGCTCGATCAGTGTTTTCCTATCAGCCCCATTTGAGTGACACATTCTGTGACCTGTTGCACTCCAAGACAACACCACCTACTCTCCAGTTTCTTGCCATGTCTCCAAAATTATGGTGCTATTCAGGTGACAGAAATCAAAACAACTATAAAGCTACTCAACCACCTCTGCTTTACTGGAGACTTCATGAATGTGTGACACAAACCAAAGGTTTTCAGAAGCCAGGAATTATCTTCGAAGAGCTGTTCCAGACAGTTTTAAAAAAAAGTGTTAATCCCATAGTTAAAAGTATTGAAGCATGCTACCTTTTTTTTTTTTTTTTTATTGAGGCAAGAATGCTTACAGTAGTTAAAAAGCCCTACCTCTTTAAAATCAACTGAAATGTAAAAATCCCCAAATAATCATGAGTTAGTAAGGCTTATTAAAAACATCTTCTATGAGCAAATCCTTTGTAAAATCATCTTTTTAAACATATCAGTACTTGAAAAACATCACCTTTACAAGTTCACCCAGTACCCAATTACACTTAGTGCTAAAATAAATCCACGTTTCTAGTGTGAATTCATCTAGCTTCATCTTCTTACTGCTTTAGTATTTCATGTCTGTTAAGTTTAAGCAGCTCATAGCTAGTTACTAAGTATTTCATATGTGGGTATTTACTACCTGGAATTAAGTCACTCCTCAACCACTAAGTTAAACATGTTCAGCTCCTACAAAACCTTGATGTTTTTTCCAGTACCTCACTCATTCCTATAGCTCTTCTCTGAGCCTTCTCCAGCCTTTTACAGTCTCTCCTGAACTAGGCATTTTTTCAGGACCCATTACACTGATGCAGAGACAAGATACACATATTTTCACTGCATGAGTGTCTTCGATCAAACAGCTTCCTTTAGCCAAGCACCAACTATGAATGGCTGTATGTGTACATCCCAGTAACAGATGTACTTTCCCAGCTTTTGCTCACTTTTTCCTTGATTTTAAGTTCTGCAAACACATTAGGGGAACTATGGTTATTTCCTCCCAGTTGTATAGCTTCGAATTTGTGTTTGCATGGCTATGTTTTGCAAAGCAAGCCAGGCTGTTTACAACAGTAATACTTCTACAAGTTATCTACCATCTTCAGGCTGCCTGGATTTTACCACAATTAACAGCTGAAGGTATCAATACATTACCATAGAGTAAGGCCAGGAGCTACTTTGCTAAGCCTTGGTGGTCTTCGCTTGCAACTGTGACATCAGTCAACATTGCTAATCCATGCAATTTCTTGTGTTTATTTTGTATTACTCCAGGCTGACGTTTAAATACTGTGAAGATATAGAGATTCTATCCTTGGGCCACTATCTGGCCCTTCCCAAGAGTCAATTTGTCAGGAAGCCATAAATCATTTCCCTGACAGCACCCCACTTTCTAAAAAAAAGCAGGTCACTCACTATCTGTTGCCCCCTACCCCCAGCATATGTAGCCAAGAGCTCCCCTTACACAGTCCTCCAGTCTCTGAAGACTCCACTTCCAGAGCCATGAATTACTAGAAAATGTAACATTCAAATCAAGGAAGATCTTTTAGTCACAAAGCAGGGAAACAAGACAAAATTATTCTATTAGCTCTCTACTCTCAGCACTTTTCAGACTGCTCGTCTTGGCTTTAAGGAGGACATAATACAGTGAATTACACCAAGCACACAACTTTGAAGTGTGGCCTATGTGCAAGTGGCACGTTACCACAACTGTAACTAACCAGGCAAGGCCTAGGTTCACAGGGATGGTGAAAAAGCAACCCGTGGTACAAGCTACATCACATCTTTTCAGGGCGAGCTACATGCTTTTGTCAAAGTAATTCTTGAGAATGCCCTCCCACCCAAGGACAGCCCAAAACTGCAGCAGCCAAATCCCTTTAGAGGACAAGGTGGTCACGAAGCTTTTCCGAGCATGCCCTACAAGCTGGTGACGAAATGGCTGAAACCAAACTGTTTCTGACTGAAGGACAGCAAGCACTTTCATGGCAGGGTGGGATACTATACACCCTTCGAGGCTCCAGACTTTCAGCACTTAGTTAACTTTCAGTTAATGTTTTAACATAGTCACATCGAAACCTTGTGCTCTTTCAGATGCGGGAAACTTACATTTCCACTTACTGATAAGAAGCATTAAACCATTTTTGATGGTTATTGCCATAGTGCTCTTCAGTAAACACTGTCTTTGGAGGATTTACATGTATTTAAGTATTATTCTTCTTTCTTCCTCCCTCCCCCTCACCCCCCATCTGGAAAGAATTATTCTGCAAGTCAAATGACAATCATTTGACTCATACAAAACAACATGAAACCAAGACTGTCAGTAGATTTATACCACATCCTTCAGGGGTTTAGTTTAGTTTCACATAGTGAAACATCTAATGGCTTTCATAATTTTCAACAGATAACTCAAAATTAGCCATACCACAAACACAGCAGTGGATACACAGTTTCCAATAACACTTAAATGATTTTTTTTTTGTATGCTCTGAAGAAAAACCTCATTATATGAATAAAATATGCTATTTTTAAGCACATTCAAGCACTCAGCTATTTTTAGATTTTTGCCCCCATCTCAGAACAGTGTTATGCAAAAAATCAATAGATAAGAGATTATCTTGTTCTAGAAGACACAGCACACTAGTCAAAGATACATGGTTGACATTATTCTAGATGTAAATTTGGAACAATATTAAAACTTTAATCTTATTCTGTGGTGTTTCATACACAGTTCCAAAACAAATAAATGAACCACTGCTTTTGTGTGTCGTTCCCACAACTTTTTTTTAACTATAGTTTTTATTTAAATAAGACACAGGAACTTCTATAACGAAAAAAATACAAAACAAAAGCCACACATTTCCTTGTGTAAAGCAATATTGTGTGATAACTTGAATACTGTTCAGCACAGTGGCTAGAAATAACAGTACATCTATGTACAAAACTTTAAACAATATTTGACAAATTTCTACAGCTGGATGTAGAATACAATTGAGATAAACAACTGCTGGGAAATTTACATGGCAAAGCATTAGCTTTAACACATTTGGTTCAAAACCTTCAAATCTGCTAAGAACAAATGTGCAATTTAATTAATATTTAGTTTCTCGTGGAAAAAATAAAAAGAACACAAAATGGCATTGCCAATATTGTACAGACTTCATCACTGATCTAAAAACCACTCATCATATCCCCTGGTAACCTAACACCAATAACAGACTACGATTTCTTACCTGGACATAACCAGAGCATAAAAAGGTCATGATACTGCACAATGTTAATCTAGAAAGAAAAATATTAAAAGGAATCGATACTTACAAGTATTTTCTCCCCTTTATCTTCAGTCTATAAAATATATAGTGTTTTCACCTAGGCCTGAGATTAGTAGGGTTAAAGATGGCTGTTGTGTTTCAAGGTTTTTCACATGAAAATGGTTAGAGACAGACCTCTCTCCTCTCCTATTTTCTGCAAGGGGAGTCAAAAAACAGCAACTGCTTTATAGGCTGCAAATTCCACCTTGTAAGATAGTATTAACAAAAACTCAGTAATAAAAAGAAAACGATCTTTTCTCTCTAAAGAAAGCACATATTTAGTGAGTAGTTATTGGTGGCTCACTCACCCCCCTCCAATCTCATCTTCAAAAGAGGAAAAAAACATAATGGAGCAAGTTTAAATGCTCAGTAGCTGCAGGCTACTAATCTCTTCAGTTCCTGGAAAAGGTGAACCTTATTCTCTTAGGAGCAGACAGCATAAATGTAGTTCCACTGAGCTGAAAGCAATGGAGCAAGAACATCAAGTTTATTTTGCCTTTGGGGTCCTCTTTGTATCACAGGAAATTATCTCTGAAAGCAGTGCTCCTCTTGTTCCAGTACAACAGAAGAGCACCACTAACCCATTCTTGCCATGTACTATTCTGAGAAAGTGTCCAGCCTGCAAAACCAGGATTATTTTACAAGGAATTTTTTTTTTTTTTTATTATTCACACTTAAGGAGGGGGGAAAAACACACTTTTAACACACACAACTTAAGTAACTGAAAGTTATGGAAGAAGTTTTGATTAAGTAACATGAACTTAAAACTACTGTTTTCCCCACCCCTCTTAGAACACCCACTTGCTACTTTTGGACTTTAATCCAAACACAATTACTCACTACATAAATAAAATGCAGCTCATCTAACACTGCTTGACAAAATCTGAAAACCTATTTCCAACCAGCAAATGAATGAACATTTCCAAAAGAGAAACTAAACATTAATTTGACTTTTAGACGGTAACAGTAGCATTTCACATCCTTAACTGCCAACAAAAACATGAGAGGAAATCCCCATCACCCCCCTGTGAAACCTGAAAGAATTTCTGTCCGTGAACAAAAACATTCTTGTCTTTCAAAATCCTCTCACACACAACGTGGAATGTTTCTCATGTACAGCCTAGTACTGAACACTTTATTTGCAACAGTTTAACAGTCATTAACTGAGCAACACCTGAAACCTTTAAATGCCACATTTTTACATAGATTGAAATGACAGTAAATGCAACAGTTGTTTTACTTGTAAGCACATGACAAAGTGATATACATCACAGATTTGCTGGTTCTCCTCATGTTCACCCATGTCCAGGGTCATCATTCACCTGGATCTGAATGCACTTATTCCAAGAAAGTGGAATGTAATGAGGAAATATTAATGCATAAAATAAGGAAAGGCAAAAGAGTGATGTTCCCTCTTTAGCTTTGTAGCTGTAAAATATTTTATATTCCAATATGATATACATTCCAAGTTACCTGAGTTTACACTTCGAGAGAAGTACCTGAAGCTAGGCCTTAGGGTGGGCACTGTGCAACTTTTTTTTTTTTTTTTTTTTTTTTTTTTGCATTGTGTGTATTACAGAAGTTAGAAACATAAACACCTGGATCAATTGTAAACATAATCCTGAAGTACAGTATTTTCCATAGGACACAACACAGCAAGACATTTTCTATTCAGACAGGCAACTTTTTTTTTTATATATATATAGAGCTTATTTATACTGTAGAATTTGAAACAGAACACAGGACACAGTACTAATCTGGTCAAACATACTATGAAATGCATAGTCTCCACTTAAAACGCTTAATGATATATGGATTCTGCAGGCATTACTGCTTTCTCACGAAAAATGCTGAATGAATTCTGTCCCTGCCAAGAACAGCGATGAGATATTTTTTTGAATGCTGCTAAGTATTCCGTGTTGTTCTGAAAGGTTGCCACCTCATGCAGATGTATCTGAACTATTATATCCTCAATCCTTGTTTCAGGGCAGAGGCCTGCTCCACCTTGGTCTAGATTAACACATAGCTCTGAGGAGAGGAATGGTCTTCAGTCTGAATTTCTTGCAAAAGCGGCTGCTGCTGTTGAGAGGGCTGCTGTACTGGGACCTCCGTAGAGTCCATTGTGCTGGTGTCATCTGACAGAGATGAGAAAGAGACCCGAGACGAAAGCTGCTCAACAGTCAGGGTGCTCAAAGCTGTGCTTTGACCAGAGTTTGGAGAGTTCTTCAGCGTCAGATCTGAAGCGGGAAGAAGGGGGCCCAGAAGTTTTACAGGACAGAAAGCTGATCCGGTTGGGATGAAATTAACCTTGTTTTTGTCAGGACATGAAAAGAGAGGCGCTGAGACAGGCTGACGAGACCTACAACAAGAAAAAACATTATATACCTGGCCAACCAAGATGTTTTATACGTCATGAACTTTGTGGTTCTACACATTGCTAAAATGTGAATGACAAGGAATGGGATTAATTGGACAGAGGGGCAAACATCTTCCATATTGGTAGTCAGCTAACTGATCCACAGCATTAAAAACAGCACTGTCACAAAAATGACTTGGTAAGTACTGGATAAACATGCAACTTCCAGCAAGAAAAATCTGCAATACATATGCACGTGAAAAAATGCCACAGTAATTTAGAATGGCACAAATTCTTCTTTAATGAAAACAGTGTAGCAACAACACATTTAGTCATATCAAACCCCTCTGAGAACCTCCATGAAATAGACCTCTCCTTTCCCACATTCTGTAATTTGTCTGGAGGTTTCCTCCACAACCCAGCATTACTCCTTCACCATCGAGCAGGCAGTGAATGCTGTTAGAGCAAGAAACATCCCCTCCTTAATTCTTTCATCCACAGGTGCTAGCATGCAACCTCAACAGCACGTGTTCAAATACTGCTGGGTCTAGGGTAAGAAGACACGATGGCCAAGAGTTTAATTTCTGAATTCTTGCTCAGTGAAAATATTGAGCAAAGTCTAGACCATAAGCATACTACTGTCTACAAACAGTTTACATGTGTTTCATTCCATTTTATATGTTTTATACACATCAAAACATAACCTATGCTTGAAACTGATACAGAATTATGACAAAGGGAGTTTTTGTTTTAAGCCACGAACATTTAAAAAGTTAATAAAAAAGTATATGGAAAGAGGTTTATAAATGTTTAGGAAATTAAATGTACCTTATCTTTTCTGCTTGGATTTTTGTTGCCTTTTATAAATGCACAAAAAGAGTTCAAGCATAAAAGACTCCATTTCCTCTTCAAACCAACATGAACACTTCAACTTCTTCTGTACAAACTCTAAGAATAGTTTGCTCCTGAAAAACTCATCAGCTGGAATAGTTTATTCATCTGCAGTTGAATAGGCTCAGTAAACAGGTTTACTGCTTTGCAGATACCAGCTGATATAAAAGGCATTACTTACGACATTTCCTCAAAGACCTTCACTCGCTCACATCCCTCTGGGGGCTCTCGTTTGAACATGTAGCTGTTGTTTGGTTTGGGAGATGAGGCATACTTGGGCAACGGTGAGCTACTCCCACTGTCTGAAAATTTAAAGCAGTTATATTACTAGAGATTGAGAGTGCTTTTTAATTAAATTTGATTTCCAAACAAGATGCCTTTTTTCACAATTTAGCCACTATATGCCGGTTTGCTTCTACCACAATGCTTCCTTTATTGCAGGCTATTTCTTGTATAGCAACCCTTGTATAGCACATTTCTTCTGAATAAAAGCTTCAGTGCAGCAGTAATCTATCATATAACAACACATAACAGGAGGATATTTTTATCCAGAACACTGCAATTGCAACAAAGCAGAGCTGTGATCCTGGAAACAAATACATTCTTTTATTATGTATTTCAAAAACCATAAATGAACAAGGTAGTATGCATAATACATGCATAATACATGCAGAAGAATTATGAGGGGTAATGATAATATGCCTTCTCACTGTATAAACACAGTTATGGAAAACGTGTGTATACAGCATGTATCTTATTTTAAAACATAATTCTTCACCGGAATATTGACCTCATTAGTCTCATGAATAGTTCAGAAGCTGCAAAGAAACAAAGCATGTTTGTAACACAGGTACTGACACCTCATCATTACAATGCCCTACCTTATTTGCTTCACAATTGTGAAGTTGTTTTAGTCTCCAAAATAAATTTACTCATCACTACTAACTATTTGACATAGGCATTCTCCATAACTCTCTGTGTATATTTTACTAGACACAGAACTAAAGGTGTGAAGATCAAGGACACAATGCAATAGGCAGTTTTCTTCGTACTTCTTGGAAAACTATATATAAGACAGAAGGCTCAACTCTGGTAATGGCAGAAGCACAAAAGTTTGGAAAATTAAGACTATGAAAGGGTTCACCTTAAACACTCATCTTGGCAACATGATATTCAATGCATTAAGGAAATAAAGTAGGTAAAAAAATAATTACAGAAAATTAGCTTTCTGCAGTGGCTCATACTTTTTCAAAGAGCAACATCTATCTCAGGCTAGTATTAGTGGCTCCCTATTCTCTGTTGAGGCTTACAATTTAAAAAAAAAAGGAAATAAAATGGCAAAGTTAAAGAGGATGCCCCAACTTACAAATGCACCTTATCTGGAGAGAAGTAACTGCTCTTTGCTTTAGCTCCTTTTAGCTCCTTTTGAGTCTTTCCACCAATGTGAGGCACTTTTACCATATTTAACTCAAGATAGCTTTGTTTATTCTGCTGTTCACATGTACCATTTGAACGACACTGGAAAACTAATCAGAGCTTCAAGCACTATGATCTAGATTCACTGAAGCATACAAAGTTGTCTTTAACAGCTTGCAAACAGTAACTACATAAACTTTTGTATAACCATGACACAAATACAAAGGCTAATCATTAGAGGTTTTGAAACATCTCTGCTTTCTCTTACAAGACGACACATATAAACTCAAATGTCACACTTCCCTTTGGAGATTTACTATGAAAGATATGAGAAGAAAAACAGTTGAAGTGAACCTCAGTAGTGTATTGATTATTCAGCTCTTCCCTGCTGTATAGAGTGAACATAGAACTTCTATTTACAGAATTTTAGGTGTTAATTGTACGAAGGCAGAAAAAGCTTTGAGACAATACAGATATTTGCCAAGCTGGGAGCATGATGGTCCTGTTGGCATCTTTCCAGTGTTGGCCCACACAGCTCATTCCAAACACAGAAATCATTAACAGAACCCAGACAGTTTGTTTCCTCCTTCTAATATGTAAATTTGAAGATCCAAGTTTCTATTTAAAAAATTTGAGACACAAAATGTGCTACTGTTCATTCCACCAAATAGTGGAAAACTGTGGAAGTACATCCAAGGGAAGAATCGAATAGAAATTTAAAGTTAAGTCAGTTCTTGGAAGACTTAGAGCCTTGTCTAGCCAGTTCAGCTTTCAATCAAGTTTTCGGTTTATTTAGCCCTGTCTGGCTGAAACTTTCTATATAAGACAGCTGTTAAACAAGTAAAAAAAAAACAAACCAAAAAAAACCCTGTATAATTTAACCATTCAGTTTCCCTCTTTACCCTCCCTGCTTTTAAAGCTTACTAAGTTGTTAGCTTTTTATTTTGAACAAACACATACCGCACTACTATTTGAAAAATATATGTGGTTATTACAAGGTTCACATGTACAACCTTGGTGTTGGTTCTACATGTCCAGCAGCAGTGAAAGAATGAAAGGGTACTGGGAAAAGAGGTCATGAGTTAAAGTGGTAAGAGGTGGAATTTACAGTTTAAGCCAGTTTCCACTTGTGTATCCTGTAAACTTTTAAATGCTGAACTGTCACATTATTAAGCCTTAATGCACTACAAATGTGTATTCTCAAACTGTGCTATTTACACTTTTTTTTTTTTTTTTTACTGTCTCAGAGGCTGCAGTGCATGAGCCTTCATGTCAGAGACCACGTCTGCATCTTCCACACTTCCACCAGTAGGGTGTGCTCCACTGGCAGATTTCAGCCAACTAATAACATTTCATTAAGATGACAATGATTGAAGATTAACAGATGTAACCTTTGAAGTGAGTTTTGTTACCGTAACCACATAGCAGACAATATGGAGCCCTATCACATAGAATTTCTAAACATAACTATTCAAGATGGATATATTCTGCTACCTAGAAAATATTTAAGATTGTAATTAAACAACTAAACCCACTATTTTAACCAGATGAGTTAATACCACAAACTTTAGCTTGCATATATTAGAGCAACAAAGGAGGCAAACTAAAGAAGAATCTGTAAAACAATTTTTTGAGTCACAAAACAAAGGAAACTTTGCCAGTGAGTCTTGGGATTTGTTTTCATAGGTTCAAAAATACCTTTGTTTCTTAAGACTATCCAAAGACTTCACGAACAATTTTCATTTTAAAAACTATGAATCAGATGCCCAGAAGTTAAAAAGTATCTTCAGTTCATCTTCAGGAACATGATGCTTGTAACAGCCTGCTAGCAACAGTGGGAATACACAATGCTACACAAAAGCACCTAAATCAAAATCCCTGAAAAACAAGTTAACAGGTTTTACTATCCATTTTTGCACCACCAGCACCACCCCCCTAATTTCATCTGCTTATACCTTAGGATGCCTTTGAACTTTCCTCTGTCACAGCTGCTAAGTATGCCATGTAGCACTCTGAATTATAGTCACTTGGACCAGAGTATCATAAGACAGATCTAGTGAAACCAGTAGCTTTAATGCAGCAAGGCAGTCGCTTGCCTTGCAATAAATAGGCTGATACTTGAAACAAAATCATAAAGCCAGGTACCCTTAGAATATCTTCTCTCCCACCCTTCCCTCTCTGATCCAATCAATACCATTTAGTATCACTGCTCCATTCGGAGCAGTATTTTGGACCTTTTCTGAAATTTAGCCTTCAATTTCTTTTGAAAAATTCAATAGATTTAGCAGCTCCTTGCAGAAATGTAAACCAAACAGCTGATACAGTCCAAAGAGCAGCTGTGAGGGCCTCAGGCAAGCACAGCTTTGCTCAAGAAATAAAAGATGCTTTAGAAATGTAAAGCAGTGCTGTGTCTGTACAGAGTTCTGGCTCCTCTCACTGTTCATGTGTCTAAAACTACTAACCTTCCTTTCCTATTCAGTCACACACTCAAGAGCTGATTCATAGAGCTGATAATTGTATTTTTTAAATGATAAAGCCAAGTTATCCCCATAGAGAGGAAAAATAAAACCTCAACTTGAGAAATGTAACAGAAAAATATCTTGGGTTTAAATTGTCTACATTTGATTATACAAAGCATTTTTTAAAACTTAACAGGCCTCACAGCAAATTCACAACAGTTGTATTCTAGCATCACAAAAACCTCTACAATGAAGGTGAAAAAAACTTCACAAGTTTTGTTTTATAAAGCAGTTGACATCCACAACAGATGTTAATAAACTGTCCCTCAAAACTTGCTACTCCCTTATGATTTCTACCTATATAATTTCTACCTATATCCCTTATTTATCTGTAATTTAACTACTTTGAAGATAATTCTCTTATTCAGAACAACTGGCCTGTGGGATCTTAACGATATGAGAGAAAAAGGCATCTTTCTGGCTATGCTTTTACAACCTCGGAACAGATTACTTTCTCTTGGAAATGCTACACATTTTTCTATCTTGTCCTCAAAGAACAAAGCTATGATGAACAGTTCAAGCTTTTATCTTTCATAAGCACAGTATTAAGTACCTTAAACTAATTCAAAAATGCAATTATATTAACTTTACAAAGCTGGCTGTTTGTCACTATCACCTATATGCTACTACTAAATCAGACTTTTGATGCAAACCTAGCATAAAGCCAGTCTTTAAACCAAAACAAGTAAGTATCTATTCATTGCAAAGTTCACCAATAAATTTTATTCCAGTTAGCTGTTCAAAAATCCAAGACAGGAGATGAAAACCCTTGCAAAGCATTAAGAAGGTTAGATGCACTATTTCAAACTGTCTTCACTTCCTACTGACAATAAAATACCACTGAAAATTCCAAATACTCTGATAACTTGAGTACTAACTGCAAAAGGAATTATTCTTTTCATTTCCTCATTTTGAACTTATATTTGTTATCAGGACAGATACGAACAAATTTACCTGTCAATACATTCTTTTGTGTGCTAATACTTTAGTGGATGTTTCTATAGTGATTCAGTCTTGACAACACATTACAACTCACATGCATACTATAAGAAAGAGAAGTGGGACTGGGGGAGCTAATACCTCTCATTTTTGGAGCATGGCCAACTAGCATCTTGAGCTGAGACTTTTACTCTGATGTGGTTAACTTATACCCACCCTCAATTCAGGATTTGGGCAGGTGTTTTTCTACTACTTCCTTTTAAATCCAAGATGGGGAAGCAATACTTTCAAGAAGCCAAGAAAAGATAGTGTTTCTCTCACTGCCTTCCCCAACCTTGCTCCCAAATTACTTTAAGAATTATTAAACAGTGAATATTTACAGCAAAAGCTTAACCTTTTAACCTCAAACTACTACTGTCTTTAGCTCATTACTAAATCTACACTAAATCTTAAAAGTTTTAATTTCCTCTGTGAAACTTACTACTCTTAGCTTGCATGTTTTACCCAAACCCTGCATACCTCCAAACTAAAGTCCATGTTTCCAGCTAGCTGACCAGAAGCCCAAGGATAATTTCATTAGTAATAAATTGTCAAAAAAAAAAAAAAAAAAAATCAGTCTTTTTGCACTAGTGCCTATGTTTTCATACTACATGCTCTGTCAGTAACTCTTAATTACTGAAACTATGATTTACTCCCCCTACAAAACCAAACAACATTTTAGAGACTTTGAAAAAAAAAAATATGCAGGATATTGACATATAAACACATAAGTTATTCTGAAATTTTGGATTGTTATGCAACATACACAGACAAGTAATTACTCTCCATCAGATTGTTCAAACTCGTATCTGAGCTCCTCACCAAATAGCTTCAAGTGGAATGTAAAAGTTCAGAAGCAGAGTACTTGTAAAAGCAGTCCAAAACTTCACCATTTTGATTAGCAAGTAACTCACCCATGATGAACATAGTCTACCACAAAGCTTCTTGAAACCTTTTTTAAACATAAACATGTTACAGTCTGAATTCTTCACATTAGAATCTTCATAAATATGTTAAGACTGTTTGCTGTGCTCCTCTGACGTATTTATGGAAGATGTTTGTGAAGTTTCACAAACAAGAGGGAAAAAGATATGTAAACAAACAAAACCAATTTTAAGATAAATCCTCAATCCCTCCACAATCATCAAACCAAACAAAAACTGATGTAATGAGTAAAATGAAGGTAGTTGTAAAAGCAGGACATCACATGCCTCCCATAGGTAAAGGTGGGCCATTCTACTCTCACCTTTATCACGGTCATAGAGTAAATCTTCTGTTGAGCAAGGACTCCCATCCTGAGATTCAGGAGGGCAAAAGGGAGAGACACATGGTGAATGACTGCTGCAGCTGCTGCTGCGCTCCTGCACAGACGGAGTCTGAGTGTCAATGCTTCGTGTACTACTACTACGATAGTGAGCAGGTAATGGGGCCCTTCGACCATCAGGGATATCCAGAGGCTGCAAGAGAAACAAGCAGTTCAGGTTACACAGAAAAGATCAAACTCCTAAGCAATGTCAGGCTGTAGCACTCATTACTGAAGCAGAGGCAAGGCCTTAAGAAGAGCAAACAAGCCATTTTTGAAAGAACAACTTTTACACAAGAAAATAATGCAACGGACACAACATACATCAATTATGCTGAACGCTGGGACAATGTGCAGATTTCCAAGCCAACTATATCCTCTTAATGTTAACACCAGAATGCACTTCAACACATGCTAAGATTATGTTTTTACATTTTTTATGTTAGTTTTAAAAAAGCAAATCTCCCCAACAAACAGATTTCTAATTATACTTAGTAATACAATGTTCAATAAAGGTCAATGTTGTTATGAAAGAAAAACAAGTACCCTGACAGACATCACATTGGGATTAAAGGAAAAGTAGAAAACGTCAAATACAATGGCACACTATTGCTCTAACAAGCAACTGAATTACAATTATAAATGAAACCATCTAAGTTTTGCTAGTAAGTCATAATTCTCTAGCACACCTCTACACTCCACCTTCACTTTATAGGTGACCTCTGACAAAATGACAACTAGGCAGATGAAGCACAGGCTTATACAAGGTTCACAAGCTTTCTCTCGAACCAAAGCTGGTAAGCACTGCCTGCTCATATCAGCCTAGTTGGCACTGGCCAGAGAGATCTTGCATCCCATTCTGCAATATACTGCAGGAATGTGTTCACAGTAGTAGACTCTACTTGTCTTTTCCACTGAAAAATTAGCTTTATCATAAAGACAGTAATGCTTTAAATGTAAGAAATCAAATCAGAATTACGGTTTTGCTTAAAAGCGAAGGGGAAAAAAACGCCTCCAAGATTTAAATATCATTTTTATCCTCACTTCAGTGAGGATTGTATTCAAGCCATAGAGAACAGCATAAATGTTCTAGCTACAAAAAAAATTAATGTCTTTTTCATTTTCAGTTTAAGTGAACATTTTTATTTTATTGCTTTCCTCTTCTCCATGTATTCCAAAACTGTAACGGCTTGTTCCAGAGCCTAAAATTCAACCCAACACTTTTGCTAGCAATGAGGACATGAAACCTACCGGCTGAGTATCACATTCTCCCCTTTTCAGCAATAGTCTACCCAGAAAACCACCACATGTTATACAAAGAGGCAGACATAGCAGAGCAGGAAGATCCTTTTCTTCTTATGAGCCTTCTAAGTTAATACTCTTAATTGAAATATGAAATGGTAAAGAAACACACTATAAAGAGAACATTACAGTTGCTACATCAAATGCTGAAAAGTTTGGACACAGCTGTGTGGTCTGTTCCAACAGCTCAGTTCACATTGCATATGCGTTACAACACGACTACATGTTGCTATTCCCATCATCCCCAACAGGCCATGACTCATTCAGTGCACAAGATAGACCTGAAGCGTTATATCATTTGTTACACAGACAGAAGAGAGGTAGAAAACAAGACTGAAGCTGTAGAAAGAAAAGTCTCATAATTAACTTAACCAAAAGAATAACTGCCGTGCAGAACAACATTTTTATTTCTGTCTCTACCACAAAAATTCTATGAGAAGCCAGGAACCAACCTCTCTCTTTTATGGTATCTTTTCTGGATGCCCAGTCTATATAGGACTGATTTGCAAAAGTCTTCAACATTCACAGATGCATAAGGAGACTATGGGAGGTGCACTTTAAACTCCTAAAATGGTAGGCAGTATCCTGAGTTACATGAAGAATCACATTATAGAAGCCTGATGGATTTGTGTTTCTCCATCCATGAAGTGCAGATACCATCACCTTTCTTCTCACACAGGTGTGATAAAACAGGAACAAAATTTCCGACACCCTCTCATTATATAAAAGCAAAAACCCAGGAAAAAAATTCAGATTTCTGACTTCAAAGCAAGGTTTAATAGTGAACATTAGGACACATATCTAATGAGGAGAAAACAAAAAGACCTAACAACTGTTCATTAAGTGCATATACTATGCTCTATGTAACAGGTAAAGCAAGGATTCCAGGGAGGGGAAAAAACCAGTAAGTGATCACATAATTAAAGACTTCAGGATAACACAGATGTTCTTCCACACCTGGAGGAACAACATAGTCTTATGTAGTCTGGAAGTATATTCCAAATCACATATTTCAACCTTCACTGAATTAAAACTAGAGACAAAAAAAGTTGTATATGTTTTTAGACAGGCCTCTAAATATACACACAAGTAGAAAAAACTAAATATTTATCACTCTTTCCAAGTAAAATAACTTTTAAGGCAAGAAAATGCCTGCAAATATTTCAGATTACTGTGCTTCTGTATTTATCTTTGCCTTAATATTGAATCCAAGTTTTGACAAGTGCAAAAAACTTCATGAAAATATCAAGTAGAAGTATTCCACTTTTTAAAAACTTTATGTATTAAACCTGATCAACATAAAAAAAAAATATTTTAGAAGTTACTTTTTATGAGTCATGCCTCAAGTATTTTAAAAACTGAAGTCTTCACAATCTTAGAACATAAGAAATAGGGTAACTAATTTGGTACAGCTGCTATTAGTTTTCATAACACTCAATGCATGGAAAACAACTAGACATTACTGCATTCTATACACTGGGGTTTTGTTTTGGTTTGGGTTTTTTTTGCAGGAGTTTCCAGTCATGTACTAACCTTATGCCAAATGCATTCTAACAGGACACCTGCCAACTCCTATGGGACAGTGTGTTCTTGGACATAGTTACATACTACCCTCATCTCCCTGCAAAGGTATGGAAATGCTCAATTTGACAAAGGCTGTATGCATTTCTCAATACACTGTTAAAATTCATTGTTTTCAGCATCAATCTTTTCACTGGAAAAAACAACAATGCCCTATTTAGGATCACAGTAGCATTCCTGATGCTATAATGTACCAATGGGAGCCTTAAAAATAATCTGTTCTTCACAAGCCTTACATCTATTTGGGAGGGAACTTGTTGAGAGCAAAGCATCAGTGCTTTTCATTTAAAAACTGTTCTCTAGGCAGGAACAAAGGCAGACATAAGGAAAGTGCTTCTTCCTTCTATCATCAATGAAGTCATCAATGCATCAAATAAGGTGCAAGTGCAAAAAAACCCAACATATTGTGGGAAGGAGCACTTCCCAAAACCCCGACTTTCCAGATGAAGGATATGAAAATTTAAGTAAGGATCCTCTGCATCTGTGCAAATTAGAAAAGGCCTTTTATTATTACAGGATTAAGTCTTCTGATAGGTACATAAAACCGTCTTGCTATTTCCAGAAGCGTTAGAAATCAAGCAGGAAACACATTAATCATTTTACTTTATTATGTTATAGTCCATCAAAATTGCTTCATTTCTAATTATTTCTGTATATTTGAAAGATAGTTCCCGTAAAATTTTTTCCTATTAGGAGACCTATGAGCGTGTCCATGTCCTGCTCCAGGCCACTGTCCATTATTTTTGCAATGTATTCTGTAAAGAGGGAACACCTCTTACCCCTCACTCCCTACAATAAGTCTATCATATTATTGTACCAAAGTCGCCAACATTTGTGTTGTGGAGTCACAATGGGACAAAGAACAAAATCCCATCACAACTTCACAAACAGCTGATTCCCTCTTACAAAGTACAGTGGAAAGAGAGACACACCATCGCAATTTCCTGGAAAGCTAGTCAATAAGTTATAAAAAAGGAAGGAAAATATATACCAGATCTTTGAATAAATGCATTAGAAAATGAATTAAAGATTATTAATAAATTGAGGAGAAAGAGGCGATTAAAAAAGACTCAAGCCAACTTTAACTTAATTTTATGAAAGAAAAAAAGAGAACACCTTCAGCTAACTATGCAAGATGAATGATCTGTAAAAAATATACACGTACATAGCTAAATTGAAAAGAATGAAATATTGGGAATTTTGACCACTTACAATGCAATCCGTTTAAACTTCATGGTCCGTTAGATTATGAAAACACAGTGATATAATGACATTACTGTATCATCAACTTTGTTAAACACAAAAATAACAAGACTAATGTCTACAATAATTAATTTTACTTTTATAATTGTGCTTTTATAAGTACAATATCTACTATCATTAAAATATTAAAAATAGTATTATGAGTGTTTCAAAGAACTAACAGAACTAAGTCAGCAGAAAAGAACACAGCAGACATATTCCAAATCAATTTATACAGTTTTTTACGAAGTAGGATTGCAAGAATTCAAGTCAGCAAAAGGGAGAACAGAAAGTATGTAGCATCATACCCTACAAAATGAAAAAACAAGTCTAAAAAATAAATTGATTTGTGTATCTGAAGAATAAACAATGAAGTATTAAACTGGGAGGAAAGTTTCACTGGTTACGCATTTTAACTGGAGCTAAATTTAAAAAGTAATTCAAGTAATAGCCATAAAACTATCCATACAGCTGCTTTAACCTTAAACTTATTTTTGTCCTATATATCACCTGATCTCAATATCTGAACTATTTGTTAAAAAAAATAAAAATCACAACTTTATACTGAAGAGATGAGAGACTAATAGAAAGAAAATGAAGAACAGTAGACTAAAATTTTAAAAATTAACAGAACTGAATTGTGTTTTATTTTACTTGGGACAGACCAAACAGGGTTATTGAAACGGAGAAATTGGAAAGCTATTAGTACCTAAATTTAAAATAAAAATTTAAATTTAAAAAATTAGGTAGTGAGCTGCACCTAAAATAAAGGTAATATTCCTTCTCAGTCTTTTTAGCAGGTTGTATGTTATTCCCCAAATCTTCCCTCGTAAATGAATACAGATTCACAATAGGCACAAAGTATTTTATGTAGGTGGATAGATCGATTCATATGAAAATTAAGGTTTGAACATGCACTGTTAAAACTGTGGAGTAAATGTGGAAACAAGTTAAAAGAAACCAGCTGAGAATCTAGACGAACACCAATCTTGCAAGCAAGTCTATACAATAACGTATCCTTCACAAATCACCCAAAGCAACGAACTATCTTTGATTGCTATTTCAAAATACTTTCTAAAAATAGAGAATGTTACAGCAGGAAAGAATGGCAAAAAAATGAACGAAAACCAAATTGTTTCACTAGCAGTGAAACTAATGAAGTTTGGTTTCCTATGGTTTATCTTTTGTTCAGTAATTCTTAACCTTTAACCTAGCTGCCCCAACTCCCCCAGGCTAAAATGAAGCTAAATTGCTTTATTAGGAGCAAGTTCACCCGCAGTAAGATTGAGTAAATTACTCTTGTTATGATCTTTCACAAGTAAACTATGAGATCTAGTAAGCTCAAAGACAGTGTTAGGAGTCCCACTAGACCAGACTTCACAGAAATTAACAGTTACATAGCAGGAAACAACCCTCTGCCCACAAAGATGGACTTGACTTCAAGGACAATGTCTAATTTATGACTTTCTTTTGTGTCTGAAGACTCTGCCCAGCTAGATGTTTGGAGAAAGGGTTCGCTATTGCCTTGGTTGCATAAACTGCTGAGCACCTCTGGCCCCAATCCAACAATGCACTTAAGTATGTGCTTAACTGTTTTGCTGGACCAGAGCCAGTACATTCAGTAACTTAGGAGACTGAGTCCTGCATCCCAAGTAATAAGCTGTTAAAGCCCAAGGACAACATTTATGAAGATGATTTGTCTGATAAATAAATGAAGTGTCCTCTAACCACAGGAGATTACAATATCAACAGTGGCACTGTAATACATATCTTTTTATACTCTCTTTGGAGATGGTGCAACAAGGTTTATTGATTTGGGCTTTCTGTTTCAGTTTGTGTGTTTGTTTTTTTCCCTATTCCGCTATTACAGCACACACCTCTTATACAGGGATGAGACAGACTTAGGAAAGCAAACTTAGGATAAAACTACTACTACACTATTTCATTCTTAAGATCGCTTTGTCCGCACAACTAAGTCTCTGGACAAGCCAAGACTATTCCAAAGCTTTTAAAGTTTACTGCCAAAATGAAGAACTACAAATATCAGGTTTTGGAATCTTAAGTCTCTAATTAAAGTTTTTATAGCTTGACTTGTACGTTGAATTGCTACTACAGGACCATTCACAAGAAAAGAACCTACATCTTAGAGGTGATTAATAAAAACAATATTTTAGGCCACAGCAGAAAATTTTGATTGGCTATTTAGGAAACAGTGGCAGTAAACCAAGTATTTCACATTTTAAATATCATCTAAGCACTTAAGTACTCCTCAACGACAGTTCCAATGCTCCAGCTCTCCCACGTAAGCAGAGCTGCCCCATTTGTCAGTCTTTCCCATATGGGGATCTCCCATGACAGATTACAGTGATTTCATGGAAGTAAAATAGTCTACATTCAGTTTATGGAAGAAAAGCATTAAAACCAAAAAGCAGAGCATAGCACAGGAAACTTAAGTCTCACCTAAGAAAAGGAATGCAAAATGAAGCAAATAAATTAATCTCCTGGTCTCTAATTATTTACTACTGTAGCCTGAAGTATCTAAATTTTCAAGCACTTGCATTTTGCACAAAAACTTTTAAGTTCTCTACAGAAAGGAAATTCTAAACAAAGTATGTTTGGCCAGAAGCCCTTTAAAAAAAAACCAAAACAACCCACAAAAAGAAAAAAAAAAAAAAAAACAACCACCACCCTAAAACACTGAAACCAAATTTTCAAACAAACAGTCCTTTGAAGAAAATTATTTGTAAGTTCAGCCATAAAGAAGGTTTCTCATGAGGAAGGTTTCCCACGTGTTTATAGATTACAAAGAAAAAGCAATCAAACACATTAATATAAGCTTACCTTGGATACTTCTTCTTTTCCACTGTTTTCTTTAATGAATACTTTTTCCAGTTCAGGGCTTATTCCTTCTACATTACACGGCACACGTGAAACAGTTGATTTTGGCACTGAAATGTTTGACAGTGGCATAGGGACTGATCTGGAAATAGAAGCCTAGAAGGTAGACAGCAACATGATTTGATGCTGGAAAATGGAATAAAGACTAAAGTCTGAGACTGGTACTAAAATACCTAAAAAGTAAGAAGCTGTGTATTATTTCTGCTATCTAGAAGACCATCTTTACTTGGCAAATTTAAATAAAATTCAATGCACTCAAGGAAGTGTTCTATAATAAAAGCATTCTACTACTTCACTAATCAGTAAGTAGGGAGGTATATGTACTTTCCAGGTGTATAGATTACAGAAGACACAACAGGGGAATGGGAAGCATGTGGGATGCTGATCCTGATGGTTTAACTGGCATCCAAAAGGCATTTTGTAACATTCCTAAAGCTTAACCACTCAACTGAAATACTCAGTTAATACACATTTATTCTTTTTTGGCTGGCTATAGTGAATGAAAAACAAAGCATTAATTCTAGAATTAATTTCATTAGCTTATAACTTGTCAGAACTTTATGTCAAAAGTCTTAAAAAAAATCATTTCAAGTTTAAGAAACAAGCATGTGAATGAATACCAGTATGGTTTTCAGAAAAATCTGTTGGAGTGGAGCTCTGTTACCAACAGGAATCATTCACAAGAGTGCACATGCATCTTGTGCAGCCAACCTGTAAAGCTCTACCTTGGCCAGCAGCTACATGGCATAGATGCACCTACTCTGACAGCCATGAACTGTGTTCACTTCCCAATATACATTGTCTTCTTGTTCACAGAATCACAGGATGCTTAGACAAAATGTAAAATTTGTTTTGACTTACTGCCAAATGCACTTTGCACAATGTGCAGCTTCAAAGGTGCATGCCACTTTTGTGGAGGCATTCTCTCTGACTGACAAAACACATTGCCTACAGGACAGCTTCCCAAAATGACATCAGAACTGAAAACTTCAATGGCCTTGTCAGAGAATACCTTCTTGAGAAATCAACACGTTGCACGAGCCATGACAAAGTGACTCTAAGCACTAAATCAAAGCATATGTCCTAGATGGATTTCAGTCTGTGTCAAAGACTGTTTTTACTGTGACTATAAATAGTAGCACAGGTAATCTGCAACAGCTTGCTTCGAGATGGAAAGCAAAACCCTCTTCTGTGCAACATGTAGTGGGATCATCTGTTATAGAGGCATCAAAGTTTCAGGAAGAATATCAATTTCCTATATGTCTTCATTACAAGATTAGGTTTTAAGAACAAGATTTTATTGAAACAGAAGAAGGAACATAAAGGATCAGTCATCATGGCTCAACCTCTTCTTTATAGAACACTAGCTATTTAAAAAGGCAGTCAGGAAAAACAGTGGAAGAACTAACATTTCAGGAGTTCAAACAGTGGCCTGTTAGTAACATGGGGTTCAAGTTAAGGATTCACTGTAGGTGAAATTGAATCAGGACTCAAATGTCTGCACTGTCAAATGAAACATGATTAACTGCTTTCTACAACTGGCTTAAGGTTCACAAAGTCATTGACTTGAACCTTGCCTGAGCTTTAGAACTTGTAATTGGGTTTCAATTTTGCTGGCAGTTTGTAATGGCTAGAGCAGACACTGCATGGGGCATCCTCCATTGCACCCTGCTGAGAATGTGGTTCACAGTCAAATATTTTGGCCAGGTAATTTGTCCAAAGCTATTCTTCAGATGTATCAGCATCTTTATAATAGGAGAAATATAGATATACTCAAGAGCGCAGGCAAATTTTTATAACTTTGTGAAACAGGGAAATGCACCCAAACCCAAAAATTGTTTTAGCCAGGCTAGTGTTAAAGTGATCAGCTATATTAAAATCTGCCTAAACTTACACATCACTTGGAAAAATAGGTTAGTAATAAGACAACAGAGAACAGAAGCTGTCTGACTAGGAACCTGAGATTAACCCCTCTCAGAGAGGAGGATATCAAATCCATAGACTGATGGCTGGAGAGAAGTCCTGTCATCACAATGCCTGTTGGTATAGAACATGAGAATGGTCATCAACATAACCTGGACATAATATTTTGTACCCTAAAGATTATGTCTGATTGAGGTTTTAGAGTAAGTCACAGTGTCTGAAATGAGAACAGGTTGGTGACAATAGCAATTTTTCCATTTAATATGTTGGAAACTCTCAAAATATCCTGTAGTAACTGTACTGTAACACAGTCACTGCAACCACAAACTCTCATGCAAGAAGACAGGATCCTGTATTGAAATTATTTTGGACTACAATAACAACCAAGAGATATGTCCTAGACAAAACCATGAAGACTTTTATCCTGTAGCATGACAGATCCTCTAGTGACCAGTCACCAAGGATAGGGTACTGTACCAAGCATCATCTTGATTTCAGTTGAGTTTCAAGGCAAATTATCACTTTTTAGAAAGTAAACACCACAATATTGTTTTCCTTGATTTCATGTGGAAATTGCCTCTCTGGCCAAGAATTGACCAATAAGCAAATTATCAGAAAGATTCTTAAAATGGGACAAGGAAATGTGATTTTTCCCTCAAATCTCTGGTGATGCAGTGTTGCTGTCTTTTACTGATGAATACATGGTAAGGTGAATTACAAGTCCGTTCATAAAAAGCCAGTTAAGTGTTCTGCTTGCTGCTCAAAGACTGATCAAGTGTTGGGCTTGTCAATCCAGACTGCTTACCCTTGGTACTTTTTCTTTATTTTCTATTTTTACTTTTTTTTAACCAGGTCAGATGAAATTGGATTGCAAAACCAATAAGCAAATACCTTCCAGGAGAACAGAGACTTTTAAGAGTGTACCACAAAAATTAGTCTTGGAAGCAAGTATGTATTCCTGAAAACACAGTCTTATCTGGCCACGCTCAGAATTTTTACAGCATCTTAATATATTTCAGTTGCTATCCTGCTGCAACCCTTCTTTATTTTATTATGTGACAACTATCAGACAAATTTCAGTGCAGATGCAATGGTATCAGGTCATTAAGCATTTCAGTGTACCACATTAGAAAACAAAAAGAAAAAAGACAGGAGGAACAGCAGGCTATTCACCCAGCCCTGATAAGGTAGGAGGCTGTTAATACAAGCAACTATCTACTTACCTGAGTCTGACTGATTGCTATATGGTTGCCATGGAGAGGTGACTGACGTTCTTTCTCTTTATTGTGACGACTACTCTGCTTACTGCGCTGAAGCTGCTGCCTCAGTTTGGCAATCTGCTGGAAAGAAGTTCAGGTGAAGTGATAAATGAGTTATCGAATGGATAACTGCTCAAATCTTTACATATAAAGTGAATCACAGACCTTTTAAGTCCTCTTTGGAGGATTTTACAAGCATATGAGATTGCCTTCCCTTGAAGCATGAGCATTAAAGCTTCTTTCTGCTAATTATTAGATCCTTTCTGCAAAGTACCTGCCCTATTCACCAACATGAATATGACAGCAGGCTTAGTTAAATTACTGAATTTCCTCATTTACAAACAAGCACTGTAATAACCGATGGAAGAAAGAGTAGTAAGAATGACAATTCATAGAATTTTCTGGCCTATAACTGGATTAAACTGGGAACTGTGAAGTCTACAGTTCAATTTACTTGATCTTAAGCAGAACCAAAGTTTTCCAGTGATATTTCATCATAAAAGCAAAGAGCCTTCACAAACAACTGGCAATCAATATGCATTGTTCATCTTGGAGAACTTATTTAATACATTTAATAGCATTTCCCTGCAGGATAAATTACCACAGATTCCTTCAGGCAGATGGAATCATCTTTTCTGCTGTCTGCTGCAAAGACGTCTAATCAAAAGTTACATATTTTAAAGGTCAAATGCAACTAAAGCCATTATCCATTTGACCTGTTCCTTAACAGAAACCAAAGAATTTCATCTGGGGATTCCTCCACTTATTTATTCCTCCTGGATAATTTCTACATGGAAGAGTATTTACCTCTATAAGCACTGTCTCAGAAGTTTAGACTATGTGCAAATTCACACAACAGGTACAGACGCTTCCTTAAGACTGGATCATTTTTTACCTTTGGGCTCAAGTCCTGCTCTTCCTCATGCTCAGCACACTGGCATATAAGGCAAAGCATGCACGGCCTCATTTCATTTTTAACTCAGCTAGAGATAAAATTTCTAAAAAACCTGAAGGGCAAGTATGAAGAAGTGAATGCATATGGAATTCATATTTCAAAGAACAACATCAACTGGAAAGTAACCTCTCTTTCTGAGTGACAGCTTACAAGTACACGCACTCTGTGGTTAACTCCAAGTAGTTAAAAATATCACTAGTGCTCTTGCGAAGCAACTCTGAGGTAAAGAATCACTTCACATCACTCTTCACAGTGTCAGAGATGACAGTGCTTAGTGAAGAAGTTTGGATCGAACCTTGCTCATAGGCTGTGGACTTTTCTTTGTGATGTTTCTGGTATCGCTCATAAAAGAAGGATCCACCTTTAAGGCTTCACATCAAGTCTTGCCACAGCTCTTTACCCATATTCAGAAAACTGCTACTCAAACGGCTGAATACTTTCATCTTTCAACAGCAGATTAACAGTTCAGACTTCCAAAAGGGTCTGCGTGTAGAATACATCAAGACAGACAGAGCCCTGATACGACTGGGTTTCTAACACAGACGAGCTAGACTTAAGAGAACTGGGAGACTAACCTCTTGATGAAAAGCGTAACTCAGGCACATGTTGAAAGAAACTTTAAAGGAGTCTGAAGAAATACTTCATCTCCACAAAAAAAAAAATACTTGTCCAGAACATCTCAATTTTCCCTGAAGGAGCAATGGCAATTAGGAAACCTAGCTCCACAGAGAGATGTAAAAGCAAGCAGGTAACCCGTCCAGTAAGTATACAGATATCTACAAGGATTTATGTCTTACATCAGAACAGGGAAATAATCCTCATCTTCCCCTTTAAAAACAGAAGAGAAGAACAATGCCCAGATCAGAAGACAGCTGTAAACTGAGATGGTTGGCTACAAGAACAATCAGAAAGCAGGGAGAATACTGTATATCAATCTTGCATTTCTGCCAGCTTTCCTTGATGCTGTGTACTTCCTCCTAGTTAAAAAGTTAAATACCCTATTTTTCTTTTTAATTTAAATGAAATCTGATTTTTTGAGCTTTCCTCAGGAGCATGCTATAAAAGATCTATACATCTATACATACATCATGCATCTATACATCTATAAAAAGATCTATACATCATAAAAGATCTATACATCTATACATACATCATGCTATAAAAGATTTATACATCTATAAAAGGATCTATCTCCACCTCAGAGATCTGGCTGACTGAATTCTGTTGCAAACACCTTGCAAATCTTTGAGAACATAGTCTCTCACTGTAAAATCTGGACAGTGAAAGAATTAAATGGCAGAGTGGAGTGAAAGAATTAAATGGGAGTGGTGACAGGCTGGTATGTCTCTAGACTGACCAAAACCTTGAAGCTCTGATACCCTGAAAGGAATCATGGACCTGTGGAATCTGAGGTTCTCTCAGCCACCTCAAGACTACGTATATTTTGCCAATCAGTAGGTTCTGGACAGTAACAGAAAGAAAAGGCTTCTTAGGTCACTGGGCAGAAAGAAAAATATGAAAACTTCTGAAGAATCAGACTGTATATCTTGAGTCAATATGATCACTTAAGCCAAACCTGCCACTCAGTGAAGAAATAGATATGCCTTCTCTGATCATCTGTCCCTAGCCCTGAATTTGAAGAACCCTAGCTTTTCATGATGTGGTAGTTACCATCAGACAAAAAATAAAAAAAAAAAATGAGAAAGTAAGGATGGGCACATAAAAAGAAATCTGACATTTCTTATTCATCCCTCAGACACAGGAGACAGAGTGCCAGCACAGACAACCCAGCTTCAGAGCAGCCACACTATGCAGGCAGTGGCACTGAGCACAAGGACAGAAGAATCCTCCGAACTAAATGATGCTCCATCTCTTCACCAAGGGGAGTCCACAATGAATCTATCACTTGCTAAAGCTAATCCTGAAATCTCAACAGCTTTCATTCTACAAGATTATCTTTTTATTGCCAATTATTTTCCATCTTGAACTCAAATAAAGCCACTACTACTAACAGGAAAAGGTAGCTGTGCTAGCTTCCTAGAAGTTTATCTTCACCTTCTTCCTAAGCAGCAGAAAAGCACAACCAGAGCATCAAACATAATCCAAATGAGCTGCAGACAGGTATGAGGTATACACTAAACCTAGGAAAACAGATCTAATTTGTGGCACCTGTTTTACCAAGTATCTCAAAGAAGCAGCAGGTCCTGTCTCTTGGGCACTTGACTGATGCAACTAAAGAGCTAGGGAATTTGTTGTGCAAAGAAAATGATGCCAAGTGACTGGTATCAGAAAAACATGTACTTGATGATCCAGCCATTACACTCGTGTATATACACTCTGACACTGAACTCCATGCAGATATTTCAGTCAGGAAGATGGGCTGAAAAGGAGGGGGGGGGGGGGGGGGGGGAAGGGCAGTAACAAAACACTCCCATTTTAACAGGGCAACTAAGCACAGAAAGGGTTTGGAACACTGTTTCCTTCACATGCCCAAGTGCTGAGCACGAAGGTGACACAATCATATTAAGGAATACATGTAAGTCATGACAAAAAGATCTAATGTGTATCCTTTAAAGCATCTGGTTTTGAAGACATTAAAGCCTTAGCCTTGCACATATGTGTACTCAGATCCATAAAATGTGACAATTTTAGTATACCAATTCAAATGCTCCCCGTGTCTACCTAGCTTGAAGATGGGCAGGAAGTTCTTATTATGCAATATAGGTATTTTCCTAGAGGATACAGCTGAAAATAAATTTAAAAAATAAAAAAATCAAGGAATTCCTCAAGGAAAAAATACAATTTGAACCCTACTTCCAATGTTCAGTTACAGTAATTTATTTTGCTACTTTACAAAGTGTAAACATATATGGTAGTAAATTTCAAAGTGTATCTTTTAGGTCATATTTGGGAAGTACTCTAATGTGACTGTATAGCAGGGGGGGAATACAAAGCATACATCTCTGTACATTTCAAAACAAAAAACATTTTAAAAAAATTAAGAAAGTTTTCAGCCTTTCCTCTTCCAGGGATTGTTCTCTGCAACACTGTTGATGTATCAGAAAGACTCTTTTCTTCACATAGTTACTTATAAAAAACCCACCAACAAAAAAACCCAAGAAAACACAAAAAGCAGGGCATCATAACAGTAATAAACCTATGTCAGGTCATTCACCACACAAACTTGCAGTTCAGCCTTAACAGTTTACTATCACACAGCCAACTATAAGATGACCATCAAAGATTACTGGACAAAGAAGAAATCAGGAAAAAACCCTATAAATGTAATGTTTTCTTGCAGAATATTTTTACAGCTAGATGTGTACTTGAAATAAATATGAATCTTGTCTATACCAACTGTAATACACATGCAGTCTAATATAACTAATGGCACAAACCTGAGAAATATGCAAATTAAGTCAGTTCTTTACAACACTGGAATAATCTCAGTATCCTGACAATTTTTCATTTGAAGAGACCTAGATGCAGACTACTATTATGAAGGATCATGTCACGTCTCACCATGCCTGTTCAAATGCTCATTAATATTTACCAGTCAATAGGTTGTATTTCTACATATCAGGCTACACAACATGGTAACTTCCTATTGCTGAACAAGCCACAAACTCCTTATTAATGAGAGCGAGCTCTAACTCATTCATGAACCATTTGTTAATAAACAAGTCCACTAGTAGGTCAAAGAGAAAAACAAGCATTAGAAATTCACCCTAAACCTCTGAATACAATCTTTCAACTGGTATATGAAAGCACAGAAAAAGTGCAAGCTCTCATATTCCTTTCTCTTATTCCTTTTCAAGTACTTTGTTAGAGCAAAAGGGACCTTCCAATGGGGGTTTGCTGGTGTCAGTGTAACAGATACAGCATACAGAGGTGCTTAAGAGAAGTGAAAAATCAGCTGTCTGAAATAGACATGTCTTTGAAAAGCTACACAAACTGAAAACTATTTGTTTTAAATCCTGGGTTTTTCCGGTTCTGGTTAAATTCCAGTTCAGGGTAAGCTACAACTAAAATTGTCTCTATTCAACAGAATTTCAAACTAACTATTCAGGTTGAAAGGGGAAAAAATACCAGTGGTTCAAACCACTGCTCGGTTTGTGTCCAGTAAAATGACTGATAGCAATTTTTATCACCCAGTCAAGTATTAAAATAATGTTAAAGAAGTTTTAACATTATCTTAGATGTTACACTCAAGATTTTGTAAAAACAAGCAGTAGAGCCCTTCAGAATAAAAAAAGTAAATTTTGTTAGGAGGTAATTACAAGGTTCATATCAAGAGCTTGACAGTTTTTAATTTTTTAATAGACCCACTACAAAAAGCAAGCATTGCCTATTTCACTGCTACACAGTGAATCATGACACCCACCTACTCTAATTCAAGGCCAAAATAATTTTCAACTACCCAAAGTGAAAATTTTTTTAATGCGGTAATACAGAATTCATGTGCTTGCTTGGGATCTTAAGTCTATATGCTTATTTTTAGTGTTTTTAAATGTAAATCTTTTTAAAACAGTTCCCAGTTGTGTTAAATAAATGCATTTAATTATAATAGCTTTCAAACTAACCAAGGAAAAAACATTTTTTTAAAAACTTAACGCATTCAATCTCCTTTTATCAAAACCAATTAAAACTACGCATGCAAGTATTTGGCTAATTTACAGTATCAACATAATAAAAAAATACATGCTAGAAATTATTCCATTAATTGTTGGAACAAAAAACCCACAAATCCAAACTGCTAAGACAAGCCAAGGAAACTGTAAACAGCTATCTACTTGTTTACTGTCAAATGCTATGGGAAACAATTCAAAATGCTGAGCAGAACTACTGTTATTTATGTTGCTCATAACAAATGCAGTTGCCCAGGAGAGGTGATACTTTTATTTCCATTACTTAAGCTTTTGCTTTCAGTTGCCTATAGCTTTGTCAAATTTTCTCTGAAGTCTACCATGCAACATTCAGTTCTCCTATCCCCTTCCCATCAGGTTTTTTTTAAGATTAAAGAAAGGCAGTGGAAATAATTTTACTGTTTTATGTGCTAAAGCACATTATCATAGCTTTTTACCTTGGAATCTCTGTTTTCCAATGGTTTGGAAGGAAAAGCTAAAAATTTGTCTGCAGTCCCTTATGCTGATAACGTGCCCCTCTATTCCCTTGGAAAAATCTTCACGTTTTGCAAATCTTAATTTCAGTTTGCACACATTCAAGGAAGATTTTTGAAACTGGCAATTACATTTGCTTAATTCTGTCTCTAGTGGACTTTGCAGTTTGAACAGAACTGCCTCAGAAAATTTCTCCTTCCAGAAACTGCAGATGACTGTGGCACAAAGAAACCGAGTGCACAGATACTACTGGTATTGAAAAAAAACTCTTAACACCCACCACACAGGCATCAACTAGCTAGACAGAGAAGCTGGAACCAGGACTTAAAGATGAGGGGAAGGAAAAAGAAAGGGATAAAAAAGAAGTCCAACAATGGAGAGACAGAACAGACAAGGAGCTGGAAGGTAATGGAGTAAGAGTTCAAGGAAGGGAAGATAGACAATAATTGGGTGGATAATGCATGCAGAATGACACTGGGACTATAAACCCAGGGAACTAGGAAAGGCAAGAAAACTGACTTGAGAAGCTGGAGAAAGGAAAACAGAGGAAGGGGAAGAACTATAAGCTGGACAAGACAAGGGCAGGTTTTGGGGTGAACAACCATTGCAGAATTTGAATAGAAACAATTCCCTTCTAATCCCGTTTTTTCCATTACTGTGTTCTATTGAAAAGGAATCATGAAACCCATTGTCCACATACTTCTTATCTCTCTTGCGGTCAGTTCATATAGAGGATGTCAACCTAGCACAATGGATCACTCATCAACTGGTAGAGACTTGCTTACATGCTGAAGGTTTCACTGTCACGGACAGTCACAGCCCTGTGGTGAAGAAAAGCTACTTGTTGCAGAATTTGATAGGGAACCGCTTTCTGAAGGCTGAATGAAGGATGGTTTCTCGTAAAAGCAGGCAAGCGTTATCCTGGAAATACAGATGCTATTCCTACCCCTGCTGCAATTTCTTTGTGCTGGTAGGTAACATTTAAAACAAAACTTTTCAGACTCAAAACTTCTTTGTGCTAATTTCTGGGCTCTCAGTCTGTGATTATGAGTGCTTCCTCACAGCTGCAGGTGAAATCACCCAGGCAACTGAAGGCCTATGTACTAATAAGTCAGCTATGATGGGTTTCATAACAGGTACTCGATAAGATGGGAACAGACAACCCTCCTTGGATTGACCTCTCTTTGGCCCTGGTTCTCATCTTTAAAAATGAGGCTGTTGCCACCACTGGAATGCAAGATTATTCCATATTTGTTAAATCTGATTTTAAAATTCAAGTAATTAAAATTTACATCACTCCTTTAGACAACTATTCTTCCTATCAATGGCTGTCCAAAAGGGCACTATACATTGCCAGTAACATCATCTCCTCAGATAGCCTCTACATTTCATCTCATTTTTGAATGTTCTATTTCAAAAGGAGCCAGAAGAGAGGATGCAAAAAGCCCAGAGTATCAGAGAAAACTCTCACCCACCCCTTGAAAACATGCTGCAAAATTCATTTCCTAAAAAGAAAGGTGTAGCTCTCTAAAAGAGGCTGCACCCCTCCTGACAGGGGCATGAGACTGATTGCAGGTCACTTATTGGGTACTGGACAGAGTTAGGGTCACACAAACTCTGGACAGAATGGAGTTTATTGAGACAAAAACTGAAATACTGTCATTTCACCTGAGCTGGAGACCATTCTACTGTATCTACTTTCTCATGATGCAAGTCCACTTCACTTCTGCTGTGTCCTTTCTAGTTGCAGTTGTTGTAGTTTACAGCAAATACATATGATTAAAGACCATTTCAATTAATCATACCATTACTGTATCAAGACTTACCCTCCTTTTTGTGAAAGTAAAGCCCTCTCTATCTCCACCCTAAAACTTGAATGAAATTTCTAAGAATATGCTAATATACCAATTCACACTTTGCCTCTTTCAGGAGAGCAGCATTCAAGGACAGAAAAGCTACCTAAGGTAACTCCAAACAGAAAAATTAGTAAGCAACCACAAACTGGTTCCTCAGCACTCACTCTGGCCACTCCTTCACAGCCAACATTATGTACTAGGAAGGGAGGAAATCCAACAAGCATAAAATAACAACCACTCTTGAAACAACTCTTACGGTGGAGATAAAACCTGTTTCAAAAGCAACAGAGGGGAGGGAAAGGGTGCAGTTTCCTGAACTCCAGATAGGGTTTTAAAAATGTCTTGGGCATATCAAAACTTGAAAGGCTCCACTGTGCAAAACTTCTCACCTCTTTTAGTTGATCAGCACTTCCCCATGATGCTGAGCGCTGATGTGATCTCTTTTCTGCTCCTTCTTCAGCCCAACAGCTAGGTGTCTAGAGGGAAAATAAAGAAAATATACAATACTGAATTCTCCAGGTAAGAAAATCTTTGAGCACAGATTATTGCTTTTCTCTTTCTGCAGCTTCAGAGTTCAGGCATTATTCATGAAGCATAAAACTTCAAAATCTGATATGCATTAGTAATAGTCCCAATAAATAAAAAAAAAAAAAAATACAGAAAACTAAGGCTTTGTAAGCTTGCATTTACAAAGGATGAGGACAAGGCACACTACTGAAGAAAGAATCAGAGGCCTGACAATCACTGAAAAACCTTACCTGGCTACTTCCATCTGTGCATCGGAATCCATTTCTAGTTTTCACTCAGTGGACAGTTTAGAAAACCACAAGATAAAAAAAATATGCAGACAAACTCAAGGGACCAAAAGCTGGGATTCACTTCTCCCACCTGTCTTCCTTAATCATTGGGCCATATAATCAGTTCCTTCCTGCCAACTCCAACTTGATACAGAGTTTTGATATACCTTTTATTATTTTTGACAACAACCTACATGAGCAGGAAAAAAAAAAAAAAAAAAAAGGTAGGTGTTTTCCAGCCTTGTCTGCAAGCCCAGAAGTTTGGGGACTATCCCAAAGATTGAAAAGGGTCTGGAAGCCAGATCTCCCAACTCCTGTGCTTATTCACCACAAGACTATTAGGAGAATTAAGTGCATCCACCAGCATTTCTAAACAAGAGTTACTGGCTGCCAGAGGAGCAACAGGGACAAATCCAGGGAGAGTTTGGGGTATGAACCATATAAAACTCAGGGCTACAGACACATAGAGAAATTTGTGAAAAGAAAAAAGTGTTTTTTTCATCAATTCCTACTAGTATTAGCTGAATCTTTCAAAATCAGGCCACAAGAAGTAAACCATACCACTGAAAACGATGAGCATTTGGCAGAGACGTTCTTCAGGGAGGGGACCACTGCTGATACTTCCCCAAGGAAGATGGGATCCCAGCCCAGCAAGACACATAGGGTCTGGAATCCACCTCCCTGAAGGACTTCCTTCTCATGCATGGAAACCCTGTTCCTCCACAGTTTTCCTCACTCTTGCTTACTCTAGGGTCTAGAAACTTCTGTAGTACGCACACACATAGTGGACACTGTTCTGCTCAGGAAGGAGGCTGGGTATTGCCTTGGAGAACACCACAAAAACATCTGCAGCTCCTCACTCTCGCTGTCCTGAGAAGGGAGGTGGAAGTAGCCCTCTGGGGCCAGGCCACTCAAGCCAAACCTGCCAGGGCAGCCTGGTACCATTAAGCACTAAACTAGTTTCAGAGCACAGGCTGTACCTTCACAATCACTGCGCTGCCATACCACTATATGACCTACAGCCCAGCACGTAACTCATAAGGAATAACATTTAATATGCTAAGTCATTTCGTGTGCACAGGCCTATGTATTCCACTTGTGTTTTCTCCAGCCCTGCACTTTCCATGGGTTTGGTGGGGTTTTTTCTCAGTTATTTTTACACCACCAGGAATACTTCCACCAAATGCCCAGCAAGCTGTGTGGACAATTAGAAAGCAAAATGAAAAAAACACAGTAACAAAGTTTTTGCTGCAGGTTCCCAAGGGAGAAAAAGCAAGTCTTTATAAAAGTTAGGGTTCTGTATATTTACTGTGTGAGTCTCTTTGTGTAGGTCTGGGGAAGAAGCCAGAAGATAATGTGGTTATTTAAAAAAAAAAAATAAATACCAAGAGTGAAGAGTAAAACAGCTATTTAAAACTATGAGGGAAACACGGGAGTCCCTCAGCCAGGCAACCCATGACTCTCATCACCCACAGCAGAGCCTCTACCACACATGTGCTACCTGTGTGTGCATTCTGTCACTATACACTTCAGCAGAGCCATGTTCTAAATAATTATTTGTTCTTCCAGACCGGGTATTTAGCACCTCCCTGAAGTTTGTGTTAAAGACACTGCATTAATTTTAATTTTTTTTTTTAAGCACTTAAGTGACTTGCAGATTTCTAAAGAACTAGAGAAAATGGGGGGGGAAATTTTCTCCCTTTTCAAAATCATGGGCTTTCACAATCTATTACAATTTACTTTCCAACTGAAATTGCTCTTTTCTTAAAGTATTTTACTAGATCTCAAGTACAGCTGAAACCATACCCTCATACAAACCTTCAATTCAAAGAGAATTCTTTGAAAATTTATCTTTCAAAGAGTGTTTTCTGAATACAGCACTGCTCCATAGTTTGGGGAACAACTCCAGGACCAAGTAGAAACAGGCATTTAAGGTGCTTAAGTATTCACCTGTAATGCAGGAGGATGTACCAGGGATCACTACAAGCTCATAGCCTTTCAACTACAGCTTTAATAAACCGAACAGGAAAAGAGTGTCTAAAAAGTCAAAGTCAGTTTCTCAATAAAGAGAAGTAAACTGTTAAAAAAACTCCCATACAACAACAAAAAAGTAGAAAACAAGAGCTTGCCTGCATTTAATAAGCACAGATATTCATCCAGACAGCAAGGGCAAAAAACAAAGTAATAGCAACACCCTGAAGAACTTAATCAACAACACTGGTGACTGTTAGTAGAAAGAGGCAGAAATCCTTATACTGCAGTTGATTTAGTCAGAAATCAAAAGTAACAAATATAAAACATTCATTCACTTAATACTAATTTTTTTACTTTCTCAAATATGCTTTGACACTCTCTTCCACCCAAATACTATCTCCCTTGAGACAAGGATTACACAGTTGCTTTCAATCTCTGGTAAACTGAGTCAAGTCACAAGCTTTCAAAATATACATACAAGTATCAGTATACAGGGAGCAGACTATCTGTATCCCTCAATTTTATTTACAAATACTGTATGATGATCCTAACACAGAAGTGAACTCAGGCAATGTTATATTAATGTGCTATTTCAGAAGGAAAAAAGAGAAAAGGTTAATAACATCACAACGTAAGCAGTTACTAGAATATTATAGCAAGCCAGTCTTCTTCAAACTCTAGAAACCGCTGTTTACAATATATTGTAACCCACATTATATGAACATAAATTTTGGGTTTGTAATCCAAAATCCTTATATTCAAGCAAAAGCTTTTTAAAAAAAACAAAACAAAAAAACCCACAAAACAAAAAAGTGCCCCACACTAGCTACATTCAAACAGAAATTCTGCTTTTATAAGTTTAGTTTATGTATGAGCACCTCATATCTCACTTAAATATTGTATTTTGTATCACAAGACAAGGGTATACACCACCCTTGATATGACACATTTCATGAAAAGTTCTCCCATCACTATTTACAACTTCTGCAAAACAGGCTTATCCATAGAGGCTTTAATTTCAAGCAGCAAGTGTACTTCCACGTGTTAAACATTAAAAAAAAAATAGTGAAAGTAAAAAAAGTAACTCAAAACTGTTATTTGAAGAAAAATTTCTGAATCGCAATAAATGAAACCAGAGTTGCTGCACCTCAAGTCAGAAACACAGTAAGAAAGGTCATATTAACAGTTTCACAGATAGCGACTATTTCAGAGCCGAAACAAATTCACAGCACCACTTAGTATGAACAGAACTCACAAAACTGAAGGATTATTCCTGCAAGTCTATATTCAGACACTATGATTCAAAACATTTTAGGAGGAGAACACTGAAAACATTAAGTAATGCATGCTGCAACTTCAAGAGGAGGATCATTGATATTTCAAAATGTGAAGGTTCACGGTCCCAGTTTCAGCTGACACAATGCATGTGCATGGGATAGGACATGCTGAGAACACCACATCTGGTTGCTCTCCTCAGTCTTAATGTAAATCGCAATTACCATTGTTCTAATTCACCCAACCTTGTAGAGATTAGCATTTCTTCCAACACGTTTGGTAATTCTGCCTTGCTTTTCCACCCATGTCAGGGATATACACCTACATTCTTTCCACTTCATTTAGATTAGAAGGACTGCATAGAGTACCAACCTACCTAAACCTAAAATAAGACTGAATTACTCTAAATATCTCACATTTTATTGCCAGCCCCTTGCTCTAATTACTATATCTAGCCTGCATTCCAGATTAACTACATTGGGGGATGGGTGCCAAGATTAAGAACACAAGTCTAGGTTTTACAGGGGAAACAATGTTTTTAAAGAACTTTCAAAATAAATGCAACAACAGCACTAGAAGATAAAGCTGATGAGTCTTCATATGTTTCTAAAGGATTCAAAGGCCCGCTAGAAATTTTACAGAAAGATATAGACTAAGCAGTTAAAAGTTAATTTGACTATAGGTGATGATTCCTCTTAAACATCAGACAGGTTAAGAAAATTTAGAATGATAAATTTGTAGTTACATGACACGTCTCTTCCTCCTTGTCCCTTCCACCTAAAGTATCCCATGAAAACAATGTTGATTAATACACTGTTGAAAAAGCTTCATATTATTGAACCTCCTGGTTTATGATGTTAATCTTCAAGCAACAGAATTTCTACCCTAAAGAAAAAGCAGTATTACACAGGTGACTAATGAGAGGTAACTACATTAAAGCCTTGACCCACACACAAGAACAAAAACATATTTTAGCCAAGCATTCCAGTTTAATAACTCTACATTATTCTTTAGATTAGAGAGCAGTAAAAATTCTGAAAGGCATTTTGCAAACTTTGTTCATTTCCATTTGTGTAATCATACATCATTAACATATACAATGGAAAAGGCATATCCAAACATATCGGAATCCAGTTTAAGTCATCAACTGGAGGGGAGGGAAATCACTACATCATATTCCACTTGGTCATTTTTTCTTTTCTTTGTATTATTTAGATCAAGAAAAATTACACAGACAAACCTTAACTGGCCATATATCTTCGTTATGACAACAACATATGTTTATCCCTAATCTCTCCTTTTTAATTTTATAAAAATCTTTTAAATTATTCAGCTACTGCCAAATAATTATATTATTAAACTATGACAATTATCAAAATGTTTCTGAAGATTCTGAAATACTTAAAACTACTAAATAAAATGGTGTACCTTTGATTATCCAAAACTTGCTGTTCCTTAAAGATTAGTTGTATGCATATGCACACACACACACACATAAACACATGCAGAATTCTGAAAAATCTGGAATTGTATAAATGTCATAATGCATAGTGTCATAGTATATTTTTCCAAGAGCAAATATAACAACCTCACTTCTCTTCAGTGTTTTCAGTCAAAACATTTGAGGTGGGTAAGAGGGACATAGAAATAGGAACTATAGTTACTGTTCTCCAACATGCAACAGAAACTAAACCAAACAAAATTCAATTTCCTCTATTTAAATAATAAGATATTATAGAATTTATTTTTTTAAAATTCCAGATTAATATTAGAGAAAGAACAAACATTTTATTCACGAGCATTATACCAATTCAAAGAACTTAAATGGGAAAACAAAGACTTGGAATAAAATTCATTAAGGGGTCATGTGATGCTGGTGAAGACCAGAATCTGACTTTTTTTTTAAATACAAGAATTATAAGAAACTTGGAACAGCCATAATCACCACCTTCACAAAACTGCACAAAATTTGGATTTTAAATTAATGTTTAATTAGGGACAAAAATAACCCTGAAAGAGAAGCAATTATTCCACCTACAATGTAAGTTATACTGACAGTATTGTTCAGGAGTTTAGAAGTAAAACAAGGGATAATTTATTCTCCAAGGAAACACGCTCATATAAAAAAATTGGTTTACTGATTTTCATTATCTTGGTTTTATTTATTTTGTTTGTTACCATCATCCACTCTGCTAAACTACCAAGTGTTAGTATTTTTAGCTACTGTAAACTATATGAACTCTCACAAGCTAAACTGTTACTTGGCCAACAAACATGTAGTAGCAGTACTCGTGCTCATACTCCAGTGAAAAGCAAGGTTTTAATTTAATTTAACTTAATTTGCCATGCATGCATCCTATCAATGACTTGGAACTTAGTTCTTGAAATCAGATATACTTCAGACTGCACAGAGCTCAAACAATAAAAAAGCCCCACACAACCAAAGCATAACTCAAGTCAAAATTTTATGATCATCTACAAGCCTCCCTAGTGAACATTCTATTTAAGAAAAACTGGAATTCACTGTGCCAATCACTATGCTTGCTACGTTTTACATATTTATATAGTACCGAGTAGTCAAGACATGTTTTTCACCTCAAACACTGCTAAATGCTTGTTTTTTGCATAATTTGAATAAAAAGACAGCTAATGTAATTCTGATAGAAGATACACAAATCCAAACCATGCAACTTCCCTGCCCTTGTCCCTTTGAAATAATACTTCAGTTTGTAATGACAACAGTACTGCCTTTCCTCTCTGTTACATTTGATCACACTGAAAAGGTAAAACTTTTTTTTCCCCACCCCCCCTTCCTGTTTCTGAATGAGGCAAAGGGTGGCAGCCAACAGGTCAAATAACCTAAACACTTACTTGAGCTCACTAGGAAAGCAATTTTACTGCCAAATGCTTGGAGCTCAAATATTTGTAGAACAAGTTTGTTTCTCTTTTCTGTAACTAGTGAAAAGGTTTGTTTGTGAATGTTTAAATATTCTAAACTTTCTATTCATAAGGGTATTTGCAAAGTTTGATATGGATATATGTTTTAAAAGAGGGGTTAAGAAATACAGTTACTACAAAGCATGCTATCAAAAATCTCCTGAAAGGAAATTATGGTTTCAAAACAGAAAGACTTTCAAGGCATAGTATTGTGAAAGGAAGGCACCTTGGAACTAAATACAGGATTAAGAGTTTTTTAAGTTAAATCTTTCATGATAACAAAGATGACTGCTGCTGCTTCTTTTTTTGCTAAAACTGGCTGGCTGGCTTCAAAATGAACGAGTGGGACAAAAAGGCACTTTTTTTTAAAGGGTCCCACCACAGTTTCTAAGTTTCCTTGAACAATTTTAATCATCAGATTCGCAAATTCATTACATAGGATTTCTGGAACATACAGACAGATCTTTTCTCTTTACTAAGCAATCTACACATCCTTCCCCCATCCAAGGCCTTCATGTGCTGCATTACAGTATATTTTAAAGAGATACAGAAAATTATTTATACATTCAAACTTGTCCTGAGAAATTCAGTATTACACAAAAGACTAAAATCCCAGAATCACTGTAAAGAGCTGCTTCATTTGCTCTAAGAAAGGGTGGCAGAATAGGTAACAACTACGTATGTTGCAAGACAGCAGAAAGTAACCAAAATCTATACACCTAAAAGTGAAATTATAATGGAAAAATCCTTGATATTTTAAAGGTATCATATGCATTGTGGCAATGTAAGCTTCCATTAAAAACAATTCTTAATGGCAAAAGAGAGTTATAAGCAAAAGGTAGGATGTCAGAAGTAATATTTTTTTTTCTGCAGGACACCCATGATAACCAGAATCATGGGAAAGAGATAGAAAATTGATTTAACAACCATCCCTACATGGCCTGTAGATTGAAAATATAACCAAAGATAGACAGTTTATTCTAGTTTCCAATTCAGTTTAGAACACAAACTCAGACAACTTACTCCATACCCCAATAACACTACTGAAATCCCAATAATTCAACTCCTTTCCTAATAATTTGGTGGGTTTTAGAATTATGTGTTTTTTAACTGTTTGAGTGTGATCATTTTTGTGGGCAACAAGCTCTAGCATGAGGAGGAATCAGGCAAGAAACAATGCTCAAAGAGCACTGGAGCACTATGAATGCCCTAGCAGCCTACCTGCCAGAGATTCCTGCTAAGGATAGAGCCCTGAGAAGGATCCAAGTGTATCAGGCCATAAATAATCTCAGTAGCCCTCCCTTTCTAGCTGGTGGCAAGGCTCTTGGTTCTGATGTCTGGCTTCAAGAGGCAACTCTTCCACAGAACATTTTTATTTGTCTTTCTTGCTACTAAGCAGCAGAGGAGGCATCTCAAGACCATATTGCATGCTCACTCCCAGCTTTCGCTTCTTGATTTCCCCTCCAGTGACAAACTGATCAATTCTTCTTAACAATAACCTCTCTCTATCTCTGTCCCCGCACACACACAAGTACACTTTTTAAGATCCACAGATTTATTGCCACGATTTAGTAACATCTTTAGTTTGTCAGCCACTACTATTATGGAATTGTTTTTTAAATAACAATCAACATAATTTTGCATATAGCAGCTTCAAAATAAACCAGATACAAGGCTGAGATTGAAATCTGCTTATTTAGCCTCAAGAGATCTGCCCACATACAGAAAACTATTTTTAACAGCTGTTTTCTAAAAGCATAAAAATATTATCTGTCACATAGTATGTTACTGAATTGACACTGATTAAAAAAACACTACTGTATCCTATTTTTAGGGCTTCATATTTATAATAAAATTAAGCGAATCCACATTTCTCTGGAATTAAATTGGGCTAAGATTTCAGATCAGGTGATAGAAGTATTATCAGGAAGACACAATTATACGAAACATCTCTGTTGTCTTGTTTTACAGCTTTTACCTGAGTAGATTTATCTTTCATACATGAAGGGTAGTGTACGTGGGGATCACGTGGCCACTGTCCTGTGAGGTAAGGTCCTGTTATTGTGTCCAAAGAAGAAGTTCGCCTTATGGTACCAGAAGTTCTGATTTGCTGGGATTTTGGCCTGTCCACTGTAGAAAACCAGAACAAAATCAACAAAAAAGTCAGGCTAAATTTGATGTGAAATGTTAAAAGCTAGCTATGACACACAATGGCAAGAACATCAAAAACCTTTGTCGAAATGCCAAGCTGAAAAGAATGCCATCACATCAAAGCAAGTAACATCAGACAAAGGAAAAAAAAAAAAAAAAAAAACAAACACAAAAGGGAAAACTTAACAGTTAGAAAAAAACAACAACACTTAAAAGTGTTCATAGCTGCAAAGAAATGGGCTACTTATGCAATATATTTTCATCAACAAAAAGTATCAAGCAAATTTAAATATAGCAATGATGCAACTCAGGAAAGCCAGATATACAGAAATATAAAATATAGTATCAGTATTGGGCTACTTTAAGTCAGCTTCCTTAGCCTTCTAAAGATTAGAACACAAATCATGACAAAAAATTATGATTCTTAAGAAGATGCATATCTGATTTCTTGCTCTTGTGTACGTCATTCCATATAATTTACAAGATCCCAATACAGGCCTTAGCGAGCTGAAAGCATGTGACTGTGTATTTCCCTTTGACACAGCTCAGATCAAAGCAGCTACCATGTTTGTCTTCACTCATCACAGCCCCTACGATCTTTGACTCCTCCCTGCACCTCTCTCTCCGTACACCTAGATCATGGAACACTTTTTCCTGCATTTCATTTGGAAAGCAGAGTAGAGTGATTCATGAAATTGATGTGGGAAAGAACAGGGTTTTACAGCATGCTCTCTGGATCATCTTGCTTTGTCCTTTAGGCAAAATTACTTCATATACTTGTTTTCTAGACTTCATATAAAACAACCTAAGCCCTACGTTACAGCTACTGTCTATTTTGCTCACCCCTACTAAAAGAAGTTAGCAAGTGAGATTACTTTCAAGTTCCTCGCATGCTATGGACTGATCTGACCCACCAAAACCCTACTGACTGCTCAGAGCTTGAGAGCAGACCTGCCAGAACACTTCTGAGCCCAAACATGGCCACTGACCTACACATGCATTTGCTCTATTGTATATCACCCGAAATCACTGGATCTCAGAAGGCAGACTACATCGCCAATGTTTATATAGCATTCAGCACAATGATTAGGATATAGCTTGCACGCTTGTAGTTTGATACATGAACATAATGTTAAATCAGGCCATTTTAGAAAAATGTAGAGCTGCTGAAATACTTAATTAGCTACTCATTTTAGGTGAAGAGTTCTAAATAATGCCATGAATTGGAAGCATGATAGTATGTCATGCTGCCTTTGTATAATGTAATTATACAAAGACTGCCTCATCTATAAATCAAATTCCTATCATTTCAAACTGATCTATCCTCATAGGATTCCTGTTGTTACAAATTTGCATTTTAAAAAAAGATTTTTGAACTATTAAAAGTAAAGAAGCCTGAAATCCAAAGTAAAGGTGACAAATTTTAAACATGAAACCAGTATTTACATTTGCTCTGAAACACAAGTGTACCTAAAGGGTGCATAACTACAAAGCATTCTTCCAACATTCACTGTCATGCTATGGCACTATGCTTCTCTCAGCCTGAGTTTTGAAAATTCCTCCAAAAGCTCTGTGCATTGGATACATATTACATGCAAAAAACTATCAGGGATTTGTTAAATATGTAAATAGTTTAGTGTGTTCTAAAAAAACCTTTTAAAACAACTTAAGAGACCATGCAAAGACAAACTCACAAGACCGTGTCTGAAGATGAAGAAATAAGGACTAAGAGTACCTTTGCAAACTTTACATTTAGAAAGTCTTGCTGGAAAAAAAAAAAAAACACAACCAAACAACCAACAAACAAACAAGAAAACAAAAGCCCCAAAGACACAAATAAAATATATACAACCACAGAATTAACTAAGGTCTGTGCCTTGTTCTACACCCAGAGGAAACGCAACAGCAATCCCAAAACTAATAACTCTCATAATTCCATTACAACTGAACAGAAACAAACACCACCAAAAGTTATTACATTTATATTTTTCCATGGTAATCTTGGAAGCAGACTGAAGGACACTGTCAAACCCTAAAACCAAGAGACGGAAAGTTCAAGATGCAGTCTCATAAATCCCTTCTGCTCTTCAGTATTTCTTTGGATTACAGGAAACAAACCACTTCTCAACCACATAAACCAGCCCAAATTCACACTAATTTAATGCCAGCCCTAGTCCATTTTTGTCTGCCCTCCTTTCATCTACTTTGAGATGGCATGCACAGATGTGTGAACCCACCTAGCGAAGTGATTCACTGAATAAAAGAAAAAAAAATAAAATGTACCCCCAAAAAGTCATAAATACACAATTTTCCCCATTACAGGCAGAGTTGGCATAATATAATGGGCAGAAGTGACCACAAGCGAGCCAGAAGGAACAGGGCTGCTGCAGCAGTGCTGAGGTCTGTTCAGTAACAATTTCAGCTCTCACCCTTTTATGATATAACCCTAGATCATAACAAATAAAGGAGGAGGGATCTGTAAGCATGAAATTTGAAGGAACTTCCTCAAATTATCATTTGACAAACTGTCCTATACAGTAATGTATTTAAAGATGAGAAGATGCTGCAGATAGCTGTTAAACTGGACCACAACAGTGGTGGCACTGATCAGTTTAAATTGTTTCCTAATATGAAAACTGCTCTCAGGATTTCTTTCTTAATTTTGCTTTTCTCAACTCATTTTAAATCTGGCTTCCTGCTACTCCAGGGTTAGCTAATACAGAACTTTCATTTCTCCCCAAACTTTCATTACCAATGGGATTTTGACACTCCTACAATGAATATTCTTCTCCAGTCCAAATCACTTTTTCCGGACAGAAACCTCATGCTTCGATTTTCTCATAGAAGCAAAAAAGAAAAAAAAACAAACACTGCAAGTACCATCTGATATCTGAAGCACTTGAACAGCTCCTGAAGTTAGCCAACAGATTTCATCATTCAGAAAGGCTTCATCAATATTCAGAAATTTCTAAAATTACAGACTGATTTTACACAAGTTTCAGACCATACCTCATCTGACAATATCTGAGTGTATGAATAGATTTTACTGCAGTGGTAAGTCAGAATGATTCCGTTGTCTTCCTCAGTGATGCGTGGCTTATCTCACAAGGAGCTCAGCTCTACCTCCAGAACAAGTAATCTTAGGAATGCAGCACTTAAGCAGCATAATGTTACCGGAAAAATTGAGCTAGAAATTACAAAAGCAAGATATATTCTCATAGGAAGGCAAAATATCTCATGTGTTATTTAAAATATGCCACAAGTTTTAACAGCATGTATTTAAGGGCTATTGCTACGCATTTCTAGTGATAAGTGACAGTTACACGAAATGACACAAGGGTCCACCTGAATACTACAGCTGGTAGTATCTTACCTCCCAGCAGGAATCAACTAAAATAAACTGCACAAAATTATGGTTCTGCATGCTGCACCAAGAGCTAAAAGAATTCTAGTTATACCACCTAGACTGACTGAAAAAAGGTTTCCGTTTCTCTGCCAGCAAAATGTAATTTAGTAAGAGACTAACACATGACAACTCTCTTGAAAAGGACATGGGGCTCAAATAAAACCATCTGCTACAGCTCTAAAATGAAGAGTTTGCCTTCCCATCCAACACAGAGGCAGCTAACCTGCACATAATCTCAAAGTCATGTTCATAGTCCATTTTATCTTAAATAATGCTTTCTGCCATGCATGCAATGAGGAAAATCACCTGCAACAGAAAAGCAAGACTGACAGCATTGGTATGATTATAAAAACTGCTCCAGCTAAATCTACCAGAGCTCATCTGTCAGCATCTTTTCTTCCCATTTCTCTTTCAGCAGTTAGCAGATGCAGTTCAAATTTGGCCAAAACTTTTCCACTCACATCCTTGCATGGATATATCCAGCTTAAAAAGACTAAAATTATCCTAAGAACTTCTCAGATGTCACAGATTCTTCTCAAGTTGGGTGAAAAACGTGAAATAAAAATAAAATTCTTACTTTCCTAAAACTAGAAGTATTGTTATCTCATTATCGATATCAGCTGTGACACTCTCCTGCCAAAAGGCTAGACAACATTCTTTCAGCAATATCTTGATTTTTTTTCAAAGTTCATCTGTAAGTTAAACTATTTATCCAAGATAGACAAGTCATGACACCACACAGTATCAGTACTAAATTCCACAATAAAGTTTCATGAAATGTTGTTTCTCTTCTGTTCTGTTGCTAACATTGCAGAACCTTCTGTTTCACCTTCAGAGCTACTAGTGAAATGAGTCCCATGCTTAGGTCTCATCTATTCCTAAAGAATTTCAGACTTCCTAGGAAATGAATACTAACTTCAAAAGAATTTTCTCCAAAAATATTTTTGTCCTTGGAAGGACTCACTGTGATGGATATCCTAGCCTGCTCAAGACTCTTTTCAACAGCTCCAAAGTCAGAGTTCAACTATTCTGGCTCAAAGGAGATGTAGAGATATACAAATATATCACATTACAAAGGATATTTACATATATATATATACAAAGGATAACACATCAGATATTTCTAGGACATTCCTACTAGACATGACAACAAATTTACAACAGTCTACAAAACCAGTGAATCAGAAGTGCCTGTGTGAATGCCTCATAAATAATGAAGTACGTGGGAACACAGCATGGGAAATCATACCACAGAAATGAAAAGCTAAATATTAGGGAATGGTGACCCACAGCAACTGCTAAGAATGATGGCACAACACTTAGGTATGGTTACCACAGCAGTGGCTGCTGATGACCGCCCCACACAAGTCTAGTCAAAAGTCCCCTCTTCTGTTACGCCTTCTACAAGCATGAAAAGGGATACCTCTATCTTGCTTCCTTTGGACAATGATTCCTTGAGTACTACAAAAGTAGACTTTCAGATAGAAGAGGAGGAACAGTCTTTGAAGAGTCTGGTGAAGGTGGGGTTTTTTTTTTCTTTTTTGCTTTTCGTTGTTTTTTAAATTACATATACAGTGCTACTGTACTTATTTCTGAACAT